CAAAATTGTAGCAAATTGAATGCACCAGTAAAGAAGTAAAATAAATTAAATAAGTGGGGTTTATTTCAAGCAGCAAAGGTGTCCAAAAATTAAAAATATTATCACTTAATATAGATGATTATATTTAAAAGGTGCCCTTAGTGCATGTGCTGAATCTACTCAATATCAGTGAGATGCGTTTGGGCACCATATTAACAAGATCCACATTCATCTGTCAGTTTGTCATACTGCAGTGGCTTATACTGTGGTTGCTAAGATGCAGAAAGCTGTGTCACTGGGATTTCAAATGACAGCGGGGTCGCCCATCATGAATGGTTTCCGCAGAGCTTCCGGATGAAGAACAGACTACGAAGCAGGACGAGGCTCTCCCCTTCTGGAGGACTGGTCACTGAAAACCTAGTGGACAGCAGCGAATCATTCTCAAATACTGAACGCCTCCTGAAAGGAAGTGGAGCATTGTCCGAGGTCGGGCCTGAAGATGAGCCTCTCAGGTCCAAAGGCTCAAAATACGGCCGAGGAAGAGCTGCCTTCTCACAGCAGAGTCGATCATAATGACATGGATGGAGTGCAGTCTGTGGGGGTAAAACCTTTGGGCCCTTCATTTGTTGATAAGGCACAACTCAAAATGAGAAGAACTAGCAGCAAACATCAATAAATAATCTAAATTTAGAATATACGAAGTATGAATCTAGGAAAACTGTCCGTTGTAAAAAATGAAATGGAATGCATTAAAAATAGACATTCTAGGGTTTAGTGAGCTGACGTGGCCTGGTAGTGGCCATTTTGTATCGTTATTGTACAGTTTACTATGCTGGGAATAAAACAATCAACAGGAATGACATTGTATTCATCATCAAAAAGCATGTTTCAAGATGTATCATGAAGTACAATTCTGTCTGTGATAGGATTATATCCCTCCACCTTCAAGGTAGTCCAATCAATACAACTCTTATTCAAGTTTATGCACCAGCCACTAAAGAGAGTGTTGGAGAAACTGAAGACTTCTAGCAATGTGTTCAATATGGAAATAGAGGAAGAAGCAATAGTTGGAAAATATAGCCTTAGTGACAGAAACTAAGCTGGACATCATGACAGAATTATGCAAGACCTATAACTCCTTCATCCTGAAGACAACCACACAGAAGGTAACTGACTATATACGTGAACTTCTTCCCCAAAGGTAGTACACAGAAATCAAATTGACTACGTCTGTAGAAAGAGGTGACAGAAAATGTCGATATTACCAGTTAAAAGGAAACTGGGGTGATTATGCAACAGACAATCAATTGCTCATCTCTCAGTTCAGGATAAAGTTGAAGAAAATTAAAACAAGTTCCTGAGAGCCAAAATATGATCTTGAGTCTATCCCATCTGAATTTTCAGAATATCTCAAGAACAAATTGACATTGAACCTTAATGACAAGAACATCATATAAGAAGAAAGTAATACATCAAGTAATAGATGATTTAAAAGACAGGAAAGGATTCTCAAACTTGCTCTTAATTGTAGACTAGCTATGGCAAATAGAAGAAATAATTAAGTAAAAGTTGAACAGAAGTTTTCAAAGTAAAACATCAAATATAATGAAATGTGCAAAGACCTAAGTTAGAAAACCAAAAGAGAAAACCATGTTCAGTACATCTTAAGCTGAGACAAATTCAAGCCTTGAGTTACAATAGTGAAAAAATTCTGTGGAAAAAATATTCAACTGCAGGAAGCATCAAAGGAAATGGAAAGGATACACAGAGTCACTGTACCAGAGGAACAAGTCGGCACTCACCCATTTCTAGAGGTAGCATATGAGCAAAAACCAGTGGTGCTGAAAGAAGAAGTTCAAGCAGCACTAAAAGCATTAGGTGAAAACAAGGCTTCAGGAACTTACGTAATACTTATTAAAATGTTTTAACAAGCTGACGAAACACTAGAATCAGTCACTAATCTTTGTCAGGAAATTTGAAAGACAGCTAGCTACTTGGCCAATTGACTGGAAGAGATTCATATTTGTACTCATTCCAAAGAAAAGTGACACAGCAGATGCTCAAATTACAGTAAATATCATTAACATCACACACAGTAAACTTCTGCTATGGATCAACCAACAACAGTTGCAGTAATGCATTGACAGGGAGCTGCCAGTTTCAGGCCTGATTCAGAAAAGGACATAGAACAAAGAATATCATCGATGTCAGATAGAACTTAGCTCAAAGCAGAGGATACAATAAAGGTGCTTACTTGTGCTGTATTGACTATGCAAAAGCATTTGACTGTGTACCACAACAAACGATGGATAGCCTTGAGAAGAATGGTAACCCTGGAACACTACACTGTGCTCATGAGAAACCTGTGCATGGACCAAGAGGCAGCTGTGTGGACCGAACAAGATACTACTGCATGGTTTGAAACCAGGAAAGATGTGTGTCAGGATTGTATCCTCTCAACATACTTATTCAATCTGTAAGCTGAGTAAATTATCAGAGAAGTTGAACTATGTGAGGAAGAATGTGGCATCAGGATGGGAGGAAGGCTTATTAACAACCTGCGATATGCAGATGACACAACCTTGCTTACTGAAGGTGAGAAGGACTTAAAGAACTTATGAAAGGAGATCCAAGATTGCAGCTTTCTATATGGATTACAACCCAGTGTAAAGAAAACCAAAATTACACATCATGGGGACCCCATAAGGAAAGGGTAGGATTGCCCCTATATTTTGCCAGGATTATAATGCTACAAGAATTGAAAGCCTCGTCTTTCTCCTGTGAAGCAACTGGTAGTTTCAAACTACTGACCTTGCAGTTATCAGCACTGCAAGTAACCCAACTACACCAACAGGGCTCATTCAATCTGACAAACTTTATATTTATTCCTGGTAAACACTATAATAAAAGAAAACATTGTATACCTAATTAAGGGGATCTAGTATGAACCTATAATAAACAAACATAATGGTGTAAAACTTCACGTTGTTGGTTTTAGGTATGGTCAAATGGATTTATACTATTAGCAGCACTATATCCAAAGGAATGAACCACTGCTCAGTCACGCGCCATTCTCACAGTCATGTTTGGGTATCTGCGGGCGTTTCAAAGAGTTTATGAAAAAACTCAACTTTCTTTTCATTATGTTCTTCCATGAAATTTTTGAGGACCTGAGATTGATGGGTAAGTCCAAAAGTATTGCTACTAGGGTTCCATTTCATACACAAAGAGGTTGATTACGAATAGAACTTGTTTAAATGTGTCTAGGCAATTAGTGATTACATGTTGGGCTGTCACCTGCAAGGTCAGCAGTTTGAAACCAGCACCTGCTCCTTAGGAGAAAGAGGAGGCTATCTACTCCCCTAAGGAATAGCAGTCTTTGAAACCCACAGGGGCAGCTCTACCCTGTCCTGTAGGGTCTCTGTAAGTCAGCGTCTACTTGATAGCAATGATTTCGATATTTGAGCAAAACAAGTGGATCTATTCAAACAAGTTCTCTCCATAACATTCTTGGCTTAGTCTTGGTAGAGTAACTTTTAAAAAGAGGTCCAATCAAACCTGGCTTCCAAGTAGAAGGCTTCACACACACACACACAGTGGTAGCTTACACACTACTGTGATGCTGGAAATTATGTTGCTGGTATTTCACATCACCAGCAAGGTCACCCATAGTAAACAGGTTCATCAGAAACTAGGAATAGAGTACAAAGAAGAATACACTCTCAACTTCTGAAGGAGTAGTCACTGAAAACAACAACTTGGAAAATATTACATGATACAGGAAGCATTGAAAGAAGATGGAAAGACTGCCCAGAGTCACTGTACTAGTTCAAGAACTAGCTGATTAACAAGAACCAATGGTATTGAGGGAAGAATTCCAAGCTTTACTACTGGGATTAAAGAAAAACAAGGCTGCAGAAATTGCTGGAATAACATTTGAAATATTACAACAAACAGATGTGGCTCTGGAAACACTCCTACACTTATGCCAAAAAATTTGGAAGGCAGCTATCTGACCATGCAACTAGAAGACAGCCATAATCACATACATATATAAAACTGTAGCTAACAATGTCAAAATTCATATACATTTACTACAATGAACCAGACGCTGGAACAAAAAGTATACCCTAACAAATCCAAAGGACTGGAATATTCAGAATATATTCTCTCACAACAGTGGAACTAGAAATAATTTTAAAAGATTTTAAAAGTCTCCAAAATTAAGCAATACTCTTTTTAATAACCATGATTCAAAGAATAAATCACAATGAGAATTAGAAAAATTGTTGAGTTGATTGTTAATAAAATTCTAACATAGCAAAGTTAAAGCTTGCTTAGAGGCTGTTTTTTAGCATTAAAATATGTTTCATAAGGAAAGCATCTGAAAATCAAGAAGCTGGAAAAATAATAGCACTCAAACTCAAGTTGGTAGAAAGAAGGGAATCATGACAAGGAAAAATTAATGAAACAGAAAGCATATGTAAAAGAGAATCAACAAATGTCTTTGACGATATGTGTGAAAGAAACTGGAACAAGTCTTTGCTCGGAATTAAGCCTCTTACAAGATGAGCCCCTAAGAGACAAAAAGCAGTTAAGTATGCACAAATCACAGAGAAACTTTCTGAATTTCTGTTCTTGACTTTGACTCTTAGAAGTTGTCTGACCAAGGCAAGTAATGTAATCTTTTTGAACGTAGTTTTCTCAAAAAAGGTTCAGTCTCAGAAAAATAAGGTAGGAATGTGCTTATCCTATCTGTGCGAAAGATTGAAGGATAAACTGTGGGCATTCTGACACAATCAAAGGAATAATCTCAACATACAGTCATTCTAATGAGAGTTTGAGAAGTCCGCTTCCATGGGGCAATGTCAGGACATCCCAGAAAATAAGGACTACACCTGATCCTTGGAGAGAGAGAAAGAATCAACCCTGGATCCAGAAGAGGGCAGGTCATAAATGCAAGCATTCTTCTGACATCACTGGCTCCAAAAGGGGTCTTTAGGGGAACATGGTGAGTCCTGGGAATGCCACAGTTGTAAAGTTATAAAATTCACACACGGGGGAATCTTTGATTTGGGAAGGCTGGCGAGGCAGAGGTGTGAGAAAGCCCCACGTAGAGTAAATCTGAAACCGGTGTGGCTAGAGTCATGTCGATTTATTGTACATTCATCATCCAAACCAAGAACATTTAGAGAGTGAAAACCGTCACTGTGAGGAACGTGAGACAGCCTGGCCTGGTCAAAGTAGGACTTCTAACAAGACTTCCCATCAGGGCAGAGAGTCAATTGAATGCAATAATCACAATTGCAAAATGCACTGGGAGAGCTCTTTACTGAAATGATGGTCTCTTAGGAAAAAGAGGAAGGCCACCTTCTCATAGTTAAGACTACTGACTTACAGAATCGACTGCGGTAGAAGCTTTCTTGCATATTCACATGATAAGCCACTTCACATGTCTTCCTGATAAATCCTATGAAAGCTTTCCAGTCATCAGTTTGCTCCAGCGACAATTGTGCTTTTTCCAGTATGTGAAATATGCTGCAATCAACAAGAACCCACACACATGCATTAAAATGCAATTATTCCTACAGCCTGATGGGAACTCTGTTGCCTCCATCACCCGCACCCACTTGCATAAAATTAGGAAACAGGATCTTCAACAGCAAGATCCTGTTTCCTAACATGTTTCCAAAAAAAAAAAAAAGGCTTGCAAATGTTTAGAGTCCCTCTTTCTTATGCATATCACAAGAGCACGATGGTGGTGGTGGTGGTGCTAGGGAGAGTGTTCTGACCCATGGGGACCCTCTATGCAACGGAATGCCACACTGCCTGCAATGCGCCATTCTCACAATCATTGCCATAGGTGAATCCCTTGTTACAGTCATTGTGTCGATCCATCTGGGGGAGGGTCTTCGTCTTTTTCATTACCTAACCAAAAGATAATAGGACTCCGTAAAATTCTAACCCAACAGGCCCTCTTCAATGAGCGAAAGGAAGACGAGTTTCAGATTCCTAGCTTCTGAAACAAACTGTCCTGCAGGGTGGCACGGAGTCGGAAGAGACTCGGTGGCAGCGAGTGTGGTTTTGTGGTTTCAAAAATCATATTGCTCTCTTCCAAGGAGTTCCTAAATTTCAAAGGTGTTACTAAATATACCAAGTTATAATGCACTCCCACACCTACCAGAGAAAAGGATGCCAATATATATTATAACGGAATCAACCATTTGTGTCAATAGATTTTGACTAAGTTTAAAATGAACACAAAACAAGGCCCACTTTTTCCCACTCACAAAATATGTCCTGGGCCTCATAAAAACGGCATCTGTACAGGTTTTAAATAAATAAATATAAAGATAGCTCTTCGTATGGAAGTCCATCTAAAGTGTGGTTTACTTTGAGCCAATACAAAGGGCATACAATCTAAAATTAGGATGCTGATACCTTCTCAACTATCATTCTCCCTTTGAGATTATTTGTAGCATTTAAACAGGTATCGGGACTGGTGAAAATACTTACTACAGTAATGATGGTCCACCATAACCATACATGATTTTGTACTTGCTAAGGAATGCTGGTGGCATAGCAGGTTCAGCTTAAATTTCAAAGATGGTACTATTGGAAATGAATTATGTAAAATGGTAGACACATTATTCTTTCTTAAAATCCCTTGCCATTAAGTCAATTCCTGCTCCTAGTGCCCTTAGCAATGTTCCACAGGAGAAAACTGAGGCTGTCTGCCCCTGTAAATATTTATAGTCGCAGAAACTCTAAGGAGCCAGAATCACCTCAATGGCGATAAACTGTACGTAAGAATTAAATATCTCATTGTCATTTTACAGAATTCATTTCCAACAATACCATAAAGTATTCTTTTAATTGTGGTGCCATCTAACTTGACAAATAATAAGACAGACAAATGTGCTTTACGTGTTTGTAGATTTATGGTTGCCTTTTGATCCGTCTACTGCCAAGGTGTCATTCAAGAGGAGAAGCCAGGAGTACCAAGCTTCCGCCATCTTCCTCGGCTTGCTCTCCATCTCAAATTGATCCCTGAGGGTCTTCAGGTTTTGCAAAATCCCTACAAGGATCTTCCCAAGCAGGTCACTTTTTTGCCACTGGCCAAACACCTGACAATATAGAAACAAAAATATTCTCACCAAAAATAATAAATTTAAAAACATAGTAAGTAGTTCAGAAATGTTAGCAGACCACCCATACTAGATCAGAATTGATTTTTATTTTGCTATATACACAACCATTGTGGAAAGTGCTATGAAACCACATCAAACAATTGGAAATAAAAATGTTATATGATACAGCAATCGGTATGCTAGGTATATATCCCAAAGAATTAAGAGTCATAAAATACAAAGGGAATATGCAAATAGCAAGAAGTTGGAAACAACTAAGTGCCCATCAGTATAAAAATGGATAAAGAAGCTCGGGTACATACACTCAGTTAAATACTATGCATAGCTAAAAACAATGTAAAAATCATTACGCACTCTATGACATGTGTGCATCTGAAAAACATCATGCTGAGTGAAATTAATCATAAAAGGGCAAATATTATATGAATTCACTATTATAAGTGAAAAAAACTATAATAAAACACCAGAGAAATACACTCATCACAAAGAAAGAAGATCTTAGTAACTGCTGAGGGAGGAAGATGAAGGGCGGGGGGAGAGAGAGTGAAAGGCTGGACTAGGGGAGGGTGTGATGGACAGTAATCTACAAAAGGGGAAAAGCAGCAAGGCTAGCATGAAGCGCACAGGTGTGGGCGAGGGGTCAATGAGTAGTTTAAACTGTTGAATGCAAAGTTGATGACTCGTGACATAACCCCCAGCGAACTCACTGTTTTAAAAATGGAGGTACATTTTAACATTCTATTTCACTGAAAGATTGACGTATATGTTTTAACTATGCATGATTTAGCTTCTACCCAGAAGTGAAAGATTTTAATCTACAACAATATATGCATGTAACTTTTTCATTGTCTTTGTTTCCTTCTTCCTTGCCTACTGACTATTCCCCAAAGAGAAAGCAACCATGTAAATTCCTTAAGAAATAAAATACAATTTAAAAACTCAACAATTAGAACTTGATGATATATTTAAGAATGTAGGAATGTGTTAATACAATTTAAACGCATTTTTAATTAATACATAGTTACTAAGTACAATTTTATGTCAAGATTTTAGGATGATGACACTAGAGGCAATTAGTATTATAGTTTATCAACATTTAGATTAAAATAGATCATTAATACCAAATAAGATACCACAGTGAAACGAATAATGGCATTTATATGTGTTAAATAATCCTTAACTAACCATGAGTGTAAATTACTTAAAAAAACATAGAAAGCAAAAGGCATTCACACACCATTCGATGTTGTTCTCACTTACATCATCCCTTGATCATTCTTAAAACCAGATAAATTTAATGCTACCAATTTTCCAATGTTGCTGTGTTCTATCAAATTGATTTCAACCCAGAGTGACCCTATATGACTGAGTGGAGCACCCCATAAGGTTTCCTAGGCTAAATTTTTAAAATAATTTTACTGGGGGCTCTTACCACAATCCACCCCTCCATCCATTGTGTCAAGCACATTTGTACATAAGTTGTCATCATCATTTTGAAAACATTTTCTTTCTACTTGAGCTTTTAGTATTAGCTCATTTCCCCTCCCACCCCCCCCATGAACCCTTGATCATTTATAAAAATTAAAATTTTTTTCATTTCTTATAGCGACTGCTCTCTCCCTTCAACCACTTTTCTGTTGTTTGTCCCCCTGGGAGGAGGTTATATGTTGATCATTGTGATTGGTTCCCCTTTCTTCCCTCCCCCTCTTTCCCCACCTTCCCCCTGTCCTCCTGGTTTGGTTACTCTCATTATTGGTCCTGAGGGGTTTATCTGTCCTGGATTCCCTTCTTGCGAGCTCTTATCTGTGCCCATGTACATGCTCTGGTCGAGCTGGATTTGTAAGGCAGAGTTCGGGTCATGATAGTGTGAGGGACGAAGCATTAAAGAACTAGCGGAAAGTTGTATGTTTTGTCGGTGCAATACTGCACCCTGACTGGCTCGTCTCTTCCTTGTGACTCTTCTGTAAGGAGATGTCCAATTGTCTACAGATGGGATTTGGGTCTCCACTCCACCCGCCCCTTCAGTCACATCGATATGATTTTTTGTTCTGGGTATTTGATACCTGATACCTGATCCCATCAACACCTCATGATCACACTGGCTGGTGTGCTTTTTCCAAGTGGGGTTTGCTGTTTCTCAGCTAGATGGCTGCTTGTTTATCTCCAAGCCTTTAAGACCCCAGATGCTATATCTGTTCATATAGGTACCATCAGCTTTCTTCACCACATTTGCTTATGCACCCACTATGTCTTCAGTGATTGTGTCGGGAAGGTGAACATCACAGATTGCCAAATTATTAAAATAAAGTGTACTTGTGTTGAGGGAGTACTTGAGTAGAGGCCCAATGTCTGTTTTCTACCTTAATACTTAACATATAAATATATGTTCATAGATATATTTCCCTATCATTATATATAAATATATTTACATATGTACAACCTAAGCTGACATTCTTATGAGAGTTGATTGCTAAGTTATTGATTGTTAGCAGTTGAGATAGTTAAGGTTTATTGTGCCAACCTGGCCGATAAACACGTGTGGGGTTAATTGAAGGGCAGAGAGATAAGTGGCTCCGTGAGGCTCGTCTTTCTAGTTCTCGGGTCTCTTGCTTTGTGATGGTCGGACCAGGGTGCAGCTGCCTTAGCCAGTTCCCTGCTTCAGCTGGCCAGGCTCACTTCCTGCAAGACATCCCCAAGGAGAAGCCACATGGACCTACCCCGATGCAGCTCTGGGTGCTGGAGCACCCACGTGGAGACCCTGCCAGTGCTGAGATGCATACACGCTCACTGACTCAGCTTTCCCCCTGCAGTCAGCATCATTGCGTCTGTTTTGTGAGATGGAGGAGGACTTTGTGGATTGGTGTTGGACATATGGGTTAATGTTGGACTTGTGGGCTTGGGCAGCACTGGGTTGGGATGTTTTCTTGATGTGCACTTACCCTTTATATAAAACTCTCTCATGAGTTTCTGTGGATTTGTTTTTCTAATGTACCCAGACTAACACAGCAGTCAAGCGCTTAACCATTGCTCCACCAAGGTTCTAGCTCACAATGACACCTAAACTTCTTATCATTTTCTCCATTGTCTGACCACTTGGGATGACACATTTTAGGATGAAACAGTTGGAGAGGTAATTTTTTGCCATGATGAATGTTTTGCTTGATAAAGCATACTGAAAGTAATAGTCATGGTGACATCTAATTCGCTCCTAATCCAGAGACTCCCTGCAAAAGAATTTTTAACGAGCCAGGACCTTCTTAGGCTCTGCAGGTACTCTGCAGGCACCTTGCACCCAAAAGCACTCCTTCTGAAAATGAATCACTATTTATTTTTAGATCATAGGCCCTCTCTCATTAAAATGAGAAAAAGTTAAATGAAGATTCAGAATGGTGCAGGGTGCCAAAAGACCAGACTCAAAAGAGTCCAAGAGAAAATCTCACATATTAATAAATTGTCATTCTAGGAGCCTTGGACAGGCCAACCATAATTTTAAGCCAAAGAATTTCAGCAGGACAAGATGAATATTTTATCAAATAACTACTGAGACCTTCTGAGTCACAACCTTATATTGTGCACATGATCGAAGGTATACATAACCAGGATGTGGTTCTCCTACAGTCTTTCCCAAGAAGGACATATAATCCAACAATTGGAAAAGGTGGGAAATATGAATGGACTTGGACATACTTGCACTGGCACACATCATAAAGAACGGCTTTGATATTGTATAACACCTGTTGGCAGACTCGGGGCCAACTGATCGCATGGACAAGGTAGTCTTGGGCTTCTGACCACCTGGGATGACATTCTCTAGGGTGATGCTCTCTACCAGTATCATCTTCTGAGGTGCTAGACAAGACTAAGCACATCGTCCTCTCCAGAGACTTGTTCACGGAAATCTAGCAACAGTATGGAAATATGTATAAGTGAAAACTCTTTTCTAGAATGGTTCTCTTCTTAGAATAATTCCAAAAAAAAAAAAAAGAATAATTCCATAATCTTGGAAAAGTACATTTTGCTTAGTTTAAAAAGACACAGGTCACAATGTTACTTATAAGATCTATATGTAAATTTACACTGACTAGAGGAAGAAAATGAAATACATTTTTCAGGATTGTCCAGAATCTGTGGGAACCACTGCTTCTCCAAGGTAGATGACCAGAGCAGGATATCAACTGTTGTCAATCCTCACACTTGTGCCAAAAGTAAACACGGGATGATTCATCTTAATGAGTACTTGGAGATAATAAACTGTTTCTGTAAGCAATAGTTTTTGTCTAGCTACCAGAAATAGGTGAATTCGAGAGTTTTCACATTGAGGCTTTAAATCGTAATTTCAAGCCCTGGGCTGCTAACCTCAAGGACTGCAGTTTAAAACCATCAGCTGCTCCTAGGTAGAAAGATGAAGCTGCTCCTATAAAGATGTATAACCTCAAATCGGTATGCAGAATCACAGAATCTACTTGGTGGCAGTAGATGAGACACGATGTGAGTGGTCAATGATATTGTGTGGAGATGGTAGGTGTGAAACAAGAAGGAGGAAACTGTTTATGTCACAGCCACATGTAGATTCTGGCTGGTGGAATTGTTTTCGTTTGTTTTCAATGCTACACCACCCCCTAAGGCATCAGGTTGTGTATGGATAGCAGGCCAGCAGTCAATACCTCCAGATACAGTATGAGCAGTCATGTAGCTTCACAGGGAAAACAAGACTCCCACATATTGTACTAGAGAGGCCAGAGAAAAGGATACTGTCAGGTGAAGGGCCAAAAAAAGCTGTCTGTGCAAAAACAACAATCATATTTCAATGGAGACATGCCACCATATAGTCTGGGGTAGTGGGATGGACAGAGTTATTTTCAAGGCTCCATTATGTGGTCTGCTCCATGCGCTGAGCACTGCGACCTCTAGCAGGAGAATCTCGCTCTTCTCCAAACAATCAATAGAGCCACCCTGAACAAGGTGCTGCAACGGCTATGCTCCTGAACTTGAGGTAGGGTTTGGAGAGACTGGTGGACTTGCAGGGGACAGATGTGTAGGTCTCAGATCCTGTGCTATCCAAGGCAAAAGAGCTTGATCATGCCCTATTATAGAAAAAGGAAACTGTGCAGATGATATCCCATCCAGAGCTCCTGGCATACCAGTCAGAGGCTAGGCCCTTACCTTGTTCTACCTCTTTATTAGACACAATTAAGAAAGCCGGCTTAACTCTGGTGGACTTAGCTGTTCTCCAGAATCTCTACCTCATAGTGACAATCTTCTGTCTGCCCAGAAAGACATGTCTCTGGAGCCCCATATCCCTCCAGCTGCCCTGTCTTAAGTTCTGGTCTCCAGATGCAATCAGATGCTAGTTTTCAGATGCTCCCTCCTCACCAGGCTTGGCCTCTCTCACTGCCAACTCCAGGACCAAGGAAATATTCTATTACCTTGAGTCCCGACGTATAGGAATAGGTACAGGTATAGGAAACATGAGCGCAGTAATTGGCAAATGCTCTTCCTGCTGTCCTCTTCCACTATCATTCAATTTGTCGTGTAGCTTATCATGATAGATTCCCTGGCATTGAAAAATCAAACATAGGTACCTCCTTTAGTTTAGCTGAATAATTCAGGATTCTTTCTGAGTGAAGATCATCCAATCCAAATCGGGATTGCAGGTCATATTGGAGCAGCTGCGGATCCCACACAATATCCTTCAGGGACAGATTGTATCCCTGCTCTACAAAATAAGTGGATGTCTTTTAATGTCAGTTGTTTTAATACTTTAGAATATTAAAAGTAATTGAGAGGGGAAAAGTCATCTTTATTTCTAAAATAAAACTAAATGAAGACATTATACCATTTGGGTTATCAAATAGGAAAAGATAACAGAAGCTAATACTACTGAAAAGGCAGTAAGAAGGCCTATATTCCCAGAGTAAATTACTGCAAAGTTTCTAGAGCATAAATTGAGAATATATTCCAATAGTTCTAGACGAGTTAAATCATTAAACCAAGTAATTCCACATTTACCAAACTATCTCAAGAAGCAATCAGATACACAAACAGACATTAGTACTTGTTTTTGTTAAATGACATCAAATCAATTCAGACACATAGTGACCCTTTACACATCAGAACAAAACACTGTCAGGTCATGCAACACCTTTACAATCATTGCTCTGTTTAAACCTATTGCTGCAACCATTGTATCAGTCCACCTTCTTGGAAGTCTTCCTCTTTTTGACAGTCCATGGTACTTTTCATATTCTCTGAAAACACCATGATTCAGGGGTATCAGTTCTTCTCCAGTCTTCCTCATTCCTGGTCCAGTTTTCATATGCAGATGGGTAATTGCCAAGGCTTACATTAGTTTCACGTTAGTCTTGAAGCCCTATCTCTATTTTCGAATATTTTAGAGGTTGGGTTTTTTTGTTTTGTTTTTCTGCAGCAGCAGCAGCAGCATGATTTGTCATTTGACTCCCTGACTGCTGCTTCCAAGAGAATTGATAATGACTTCATGCAAAACGAGATCCTTAACTACTTACAATATTTTCTTCATTATTTAAGATATTGGTTCGTGGCCCAGTTAGGATTTCCATTCTATTCATTTGAAGGTAAAATCCATACCAAAATCAATATTCTTTTATCTTTATTCATGTTTCAGGCCTTCATCGCTTTCAGTAAACAAGGTTATGCCATCTGCATATTGCAGATTACTAATGACACTTCCACTAATCCTGGTGCTGTTTTCTTCTTCAAATTGTTCAAATTCTCAGACTATTTGCTCAGCATACAGATCAAATCACACTTTTTCTTTGTGTTAAATCATGCAGTATCCCCGTGCTCTATTTGATGTCTGCCTCTTTGTGTACGTTCAGGTTTTGCAGAAGTGGAATCAACAGATCTGAAATTCCCATTCTCCTCAATGTTATAAATAGTTAGCTAAAATCCGCATCATTGAATGTCATTGCATAAGACACAAAAAAACACAGGTTACCCTTGCAGAAGGGTTTCGGGGAGGAGACGAGCCAGTCAGGGTGCGATGTAGCAATGATGAAAAATACAACTTTCCTCTAGTTCCTAAATACTTCCTCCCCGCCCCCACTATCATGATCCAAATTCTACCTTGCAAGTCTGGCTGGACCAGAGGATGTACACTGGTACAGATAGGAACTGGAAGCATAGGGAATCCAGGGCGGATGATCCCTTCAGGACCAGTGGTGTGAGTGGCGATACTGGGAGGGTAGAGGGAGAGTGGGTTGGAAAGAGGGAACCGATTATAAGGAGCTATATGTGACCTCCTCCCTGGGGGAGGGACTACAGAAAAGTGGGTGAAGGGAGACGTCGGACAGGGCAAGATATGATAAAATAATAATTTGTAAATTATCAAGGGCTCATGAGGGAGGGGAAAGCGGGGAGGGAGGGGGAAAATGAGGACCTAATGCCAGGGGCTTAAGTGGAGAGGAAATGTTTTGAGAATGATGAGGGCAATGAATGTACAAATGTGCTTTACAGAATTGATGTATGTATGGATTGTGATAAGAGTTATATCAGACTCTAATAAAACGGTTTAAAAAAAACTGCAATGTGCTTCTTCGGCAAGAGAATTATTTCATAGAACCAAGAGAAATAAGGGCAATTGTGAATTGTCTTGAGAACTATGTTTTGCAATTGTATTTGTTAGTGCTAGATCACTAACAAGTTGGCAGAAAATAGCTTATTATAATTACATTCTTAACTGTAATTATATTTCCAAATTTAAGTTAATTGCTGTAATTTGGATGATGAACTGAACAAAAACTTAGGTATTCAAACCAGTCTATAAACTGAGATCACTAAGTGGATTATAAGGAGCTCTCTGTTATGCGTGTGTATTTCTACTTCACTTCTGGGTTTTATTGAAGATTTTTGAGCAATTAACCTAAGGTTAATCTCCAGCTCCTCAAAGAGTTACAGTCTCAGAAACCCGCAGGGGCAGGCAGTTCCACCCTGCCCTACAGGGTCACCACGAATTGGCAGTTTGCTGTGTTCCCTCTTACGAAACGCACCAAAAAATGTTTCCTCTCTCCTGGGATCTTCCCTTTGGAGGAACAGAGAGAACCTGGGACGGGGTAGGGAGTGAAGGAGGAATGGTGTCCCAAATCTGAATACAAACATTTGAGAGTTAAGAATTACTAGGTCTGTAATGACGCAGAAGAAAGATCAGACTGTCTGCTCTCTAAGGATTCACGTTCACACGTGCCTTAAAGGGTTATCAGGAGTCAGAGTCAACTTGATGGGTTTAGTTTGAGGGTTTAATAGAAGTTTACAAGAATAAAAAGATTAAAGTCATAGGTTCAGTGTTAGATCTAATTTTAAAAAACATCACGTCAAAGAAAGTTAATGGCAGTTAGGGGGTTTTGTTTTGTTTTTAAAAACTTTTTCTAAACTCTCAGTTTTACTCTCAATGAGCATAGATTTTCAAAAGTAGTATAAAATAAGCCATATTATTAATGAGGACCTAATGTCGGGGGTTTAAATGGAGAGAAAATGTTTTGAGAAACGATGTACAAATGCGCTTTACACAATTGATGTGTGTATGGATTGGGATAACAGTTGTATGAGGCCCTAATAAAATGTTTAAAAAAAAATCCATATTATTTTAATTTAAACTTTCCCGTCTAGTTTGATGTTAACACCAATAATTGATTCTTCATTTTAAAATATATTTTTGCTGTAATTTCTCACGTATAAAATTTAATTACGTGCTTTTGCGGGGAGTGGGTTAGTACAGATCTACCAGTGAGAAGAATGGAATTATGTTGGAGGGTGATGACATTTATCTCAATCAGGGTCCAAAGTTAATGTTTTCTAACATCAAATTGCTTACAAATGCTTATCTGTCAAAACTGTCCTTCGTGCATGAGTCTTATAAAAACAAGTAGTATTCTTTGCTAACCAAATATCTATTTAAATTTGTTGTTAGTACATTTTGAGATCTGGAGCCTATCATGGCCCTTATTCATCTTTGAATTCTTTTACAGCTCATTACATAGCACTCTGCAGGTGTGTAATAACTTTTGTGTGTGGTACAAATATATACAACAAAATATTTGTCATTTCAACATTCTTACATGCATCATGCTGTGCAACACCCACCATACTTTTTTAATTATTTCAAACATTTAAAAGTAAAAGATTGAAAAAAATCTAGCAATATCTTTAAGGTACTCTTACCGGTGACTGCTACCACATTGTCCTGCAGAATTATAAGTGTGGAAATGGTCATGTTCAATATAGACTCAGAAACTTTGGAGAATGTATGGTTGAGTGGAAGCCAAACTAAATCTTCTAAGGATATTAAGGAACTAGGATCAAAACAAAGCAAAAGTAGTATGAGTTATTAGTTAGCAAAAGCAATTTAGCATCAATTCCAGATTTATTTACATCCTACCTACTGGGCTCCCAACCCAATGCAGGCTATAGCTAACCATTTATAATTCTGTGGGTAATAGGCATTAAATAAAATACCAACCCACTGAATTAGGGACTAAGCATAAAAGTTAAAGCCTTCCTTTGAAACACTTGAGAATTTTGGCTAAATCCACCTTTGACTTTGATAGAAGTCCCTAGCAGGGTGAGTTCTCCCACAGATCTTGCTAGAAATCCTGCTTAGACCTCTCTGCTAAAGACAGCCAACCTTTGAGACCAGCTAGGATATGAAGGATTGTTGGCTCAGAAAGCAAGCCATCAGCCTGCTATTTCAAAATTCGGATACGCAGTATAACACTGGGAGCACAACATCTTGAAATGTCAAATACTCTAATCACGGCACTCTCTCTAATCTAAATTCTATTCATCAAACTATGAATGAGTCCAAATAGTGGTTTCTAAGCTTCATTTAAGAAAGCAAGGGGCTTCAGGGCATCACTGTATATGGAATCCCTGACCTAGGAGCTAAGGGCCCTTCCTGCCTTGGCCTAAGGACAAATCAGATTGATCTCAATAATGATAAGTGTTATTCTCGGTTATTATACACAATTTATAAGTTATCATAAGTGAATGATATAAACCTAAATATAACATAAACGTTTACTAAAAAAATGGCATGGGCTTACAAGAAAGTATTCAACTAGGAGAGGAAGACCTTGCTGCTGAAAATGGAAGAACGTCACCTTGAGAAGGCATCTTCACGACAGTGGTGGCTATTGTGCTTTGTGTTGACGGCCACTTTTAACTTGATGAATTGGAAAACTGAAACCACTGAGCTGATCAGTTTGGGTTGATGTTTTGGGCAACGACAGTACAGTTTATTAAGAAATTAGTTGACATTAAATCCATTTCCTATCTCTAATATTAAAAAAATGCAGAAACAATCAAAAGTACATTAAATTGAGTTTGATGATACAGGGTACTTTACTACTATGAAGCATTATGTAGCCATTTAAAAAGGGAGAAAATTATTCTTTGAACAGTGGGAGCATATGAAGCATTAATGAGGTCATCCTCAATTTCTTAAATAGTGGAAAAACTGCTCTGGGTATTACTGCACTATATGAAATATAGATAGATGAGGCATTGTGTAAGACTTCCATTAACTTTAGGGAGCTTTTGTCATCGATGTTTTTGTTCTTTTAACAAACATTTCCTTGGTTACATATTTTCTCATTTTAAAAGTTAGGAGGAAATACCCAAAACACGTACAATAACTTCTTTAAAAACTTACTTCAAAACTACTTGGAGAAACTGTACGACAGCATGTATGCTCTGATCAAGGTGAACATTTTTTGCATAGAGTTGTGGCAGTGAAAGTAGAAAATTCCAGATAAGAGGTTGTTTGTGAAGGCTTTCCAATTTTGATATCATATCTTCGATCTTATTGAGATCTTCCTGGTAGAAAGATAACAAAATATAGCACTGACATTTCTTTCTTTGGTTTTATTCTTAACCAATCAAATGAGAGAGAAAGAGAGAGACCTAGAGAATGTTGCAAAAGAGGAGGAACATAGGACCTATGGTGAACATAAAAGATTTAAAATTGCTCAGGTGTATTTTTAACGGATCTGCTAGCAGTCTGGAAGGGGAAGCAGAGATTTTTTTTATTGTAACAAGTGTAGCAATTTCTGAAATATTTTAATCTATACTATTTTTAAGATCGATCTTAAGAGAACATAATGATTTACTGTTAATTTATAAATAATGAGTTCAAATACCAACAAATGGGGGAAGTCTACTTTCATGTTGCTTTCTTTTTCTTTGTTATTGCATCTAAACCCAATCATAACTGAGAGACAGTAAAAATAACTCTAAACAATCCTAACTGAGAGACAGTAAAAATAACTCTAAACAATCCTAACTGAGACACAGTATAAATAACTCTAAACAATCATAACTGAGATACAGTATAAATAACTCTAAACAATCATAACTGAGATACAGTATAAATAACTCTAAACAATCATAACTGAGATACAGTATAAATAAATCTAAACAAAAAATACACAACTCCACGCCACCAACCACTATCACCAACTAGGAAGAGCTGCTTTTGATGGTACAGTCAATGGACTCTTAGTCTGGAGGAAGGTAAACTAAAAATTATGGCAAAAAAACAACCAAAACAACCTCTTGGGAACTCTGGAATGCCTCCCAAACTTGACCAACCACTAAGAATAGGTGACCAGCTCTCCACCTTGCCAATGACTAAGGTGTCCTGCAGGGTGAGGAACTGAACTGCTCAAACAGAATGGATTTAGCTGGTTGCCGGACACATGGCTAGAGGAAAATGCGGGATGGGCTGGCTGGTCACACTCATAGACCAGCTGAGGGTGCCAACTCCCCTTCCTGAGCTCGCTGAGAAGGAGCAGACACAGAAAGCAAAAATACTCTCGGCATGTTCTGTTTGTTTGCTTGTTTGAAATAAACTTGTATGTCACCGAAGATCCAAATCCACTTCCGTTTTTCTCTTCCTTATTTTTGAGCCACTCAGACCAATATTTAGATCTGAGGGGTAAGGAATCAATTTTTTTTTTCCTTTTGGAGCAATTTTTATTTATTTCCTGTTAAACCCTCCATTTCTGGATGCCTCTTCCCCTCCCTCTTCCCTTCCCCCCAGCTCCCCCAGCCCCTCTGACAGCTCCTTCGTTTATCACAGCATGCTCTGGGTGTGAGATGCAATATGGTGATCCAGAGTTTAGACTCACCTCACCTGTCCATAGAACTAGAGGCCGAAGGGAAGTGAAGCAGGCACCCAGAGCCCTCTGATGTCCCCTACAATTAATTATTCCTCCTCTCGTTGCTTTGCTCCTTTTTTCAATATAAACTCTGGGCCATGTATACTTAGGTTTCAGATTCTCCCCCTATTCTCTCATCAACCCACTTCAGTCAGGCTTTGGCCCCCGTCCCCAACAAAGATTCTTTGGTAGGCAACACCAGGGACCTCCAGAGTGGGACTCTAGTTAGGCATGTTTCACCCTCATCGGACAAGAGCAGCATTGGAGAAAGTGGATCATTTCCATACCTTTGAAAGTAGCTTCACTTGGCTTCCATAGCACACACTCTCCTGGTTTTCTCCCTACTTACTTGGCACCTTCCCAATCTTTTGGGATAGGAATAAATAATACCTTCCTTCTCAACCCCCCCACACACACACACACAAACACACACACCAGTGCACCAGCAATTCTGCCCTCTGACCTTTTTTGAATGCTTGTGACAACTCTCTCCTGTGATGATCTCAATCATTTTTAAGACTTCAAATATCATCTGTGCACCAACATACCCCAAATTTACATACACAGCTGAGACCTCAATTCCAAACTGGCCTGGCCCACAGCCCCTGGACAAAACCACTTGAATACTTCATTAGCATGCCCCTAATCAGCCTTCTGATTCTCCTTCCCCAACACAAAGCCATTCCAATCTTCAACCACCCTAGCAAAATGGTCATTCCATTCTTTGAATTGTTGAAGCCCAAACACTTAGAGTTATCCTTGATTCCTCTCTTTCTCTTCTGACCTGTATTGTATTCATCATACTATTTCTTTTATCTTCTGAATGTATCAAGAATTCCACAGCTTTTTGTTACCTCCATCCCTAATCCAAGTCACCATCATTTGCTAGTTAAGTGCATAGTTTTCTCAATCGTCTCTTACAGCCCTGTTCCATCAGTTTGTGCTCAGCACAACATCCAAAGAGATCCTTGGCAAACATTATGCAAGTATCATCATTCTACTAGCCAGGACATTCCACTGACTAGATCTCTCAAAATAAAAGCCAAAGAGTATAACACCATTTTCAGAATTCTAAATATAGAAAAGTTACCTAGAAATCGTTCATCATAACAAATAAAACTTCTTTCATGTGCAACACTTTTTCAGATAATGGTATGCATACGTAAATATTTTTCCATCACAATTCTATTAGTGATATGTCTTTATATTCTTTTTATACTGTACATAATATATTAATCATTTTTCATGTGCTATATTTATCACAAAGTGGCTTACTAAACTATGTTATAAAATGTATTTAATATATTTATGGATAGTCAAATTATCCAGCATTTTGAATAAATATCTTTTCATACAGTTTTTAAATTATTTTTACATTATAGGATGAATTGTCAGAATGATTACAATAGAAAACCACCAAGGTGTTTTACCAAAAGTTATTATATCATTTCTTATTGTTGCAAGCCATGACAGACTTTAATATCACAAGCACTGGCTGCCATCATTTTCTGTTTTTAATTTAATTAATATAATCTTTAATATGGTACATTTTCCCCTTTTTAACAGGTTCTTTGCAAAACTATAAATGTATGTGACCTATACATTTTCCTTCTGACCAAGTATATCAGAGAGCTCAAAATTAAGAAAGTGCTCTCTCATATCATTTTGGCAACTCTACTGACAATATCGACAATCCTTGTTTTATTTGAATTCATTGATTCTCCCTGTTCTTCTGATTGCTTTATCGCATACACAATGTTCTTTCAAGGTGCAATACTGCTGAGATTCTCAAACACTCACTGTCACTTGCTGCAAAACAAGTAAGGAAAGATTTCCCATATTGTCTGCATTTGTATTTTATTGACAGGGTTCTCAACCTTGACTTACAGGGCTTGAACTAGACGATTCCTTGTGTGTGCTTCAGGGGAAGGAGTTCTGTATATCGTAGAATGTTTGTAAGCTGTGACACTAAAAAGTGCCTGTTTATTTTTTTTTTATTTTAAACCTCACCCTGTGAATAACTAATATCTCAAGGGCAGGTCTTGGTGGCAAAGGGGGTTTACTCCTTTTGCTGCTGGCCAAAAAGGCAGTGGTTCAAAGTCACCAGCTGCTCCATAGGAAAAAGATGCTGTGATCCGCTCCAAGAAAGATGTACAGTTTGGAAATCCTCAGGAGCAGATCCACTCGGTCCTAAGGGGTCTCTGTGAATTAGAGTCAACTTAAAAGGGGGACTGTACTTAAAATGAGCCCAAAGATATCTGCCTAACATACAAATCTCAAATTGAACTTTTACTTAGTATAAATGTGAACTTTGTCTTATAAGACAACTCCATGGATTTTATGCCACCTAGAGCACTCAATGTTTCCCTTTTGCTATTCGTAGTCTTAACTTCTAGCCATAGGGACAGAGAGCCTTGTTTGAGAAAATTAAAACTTAGGTTTCAATCCATCTTTTGAGTGAATCTACCTCCTCCATATTCAGCTTCTACATAGTTGCTACTAAAAACTGCTATTTGGAAAAATGAGTTAAATTAGAAAGCAATATTTGGACTTAACCATTATGTCTTTGGAAGTTAAATTTCAGGTGTTTTCTAGGGTACTTACTGTTAAAAAGCTGGAACCATATGAATCTACAATAAAGCAGATTGAAAAGATTTTAGTTCAATCAACAGTAAAAATAACTTGTTGCTCAGTGGCTATTTTAGGTCTACAATCAAAGGGAGATTCAGAGACTGCTGATTAAAAACAAGATTATACTCTAACATAAAATTTATATTTTAAATGAATAGCCAATATCCAAAACAAGTTAGTATTTTTAATAAATGTTCTTGTTGAATGTAGACGCAGCAAAATATACACCCACTCAACAATTCCTACATGTTCAGCTCAGTGAGCCCTGGCAGTGTAGTGGTTTATGAGTCCGGCTGCTAATTGCAAGGTCAGCCATTCAAACCCAACAACAGGTCCTGGAGAGGAAACTGAAGCTGATTATATCATTCAAGTTGTGTAACCATTCATACTCTTTTTAAATCACTCATTCCCATCGACATAAACACACTGCCCATAAGTTTCCTATTCGACTTTTTGAATTGCTGTTTTTAATTTGATTCATTATAAATAGTTCTTCAAAAGACTATGATGTTCAAGGCCATCATTCTTTACTAAATCGGCCAACTTAGTGCTTGAGTTAAAGAAGACTTTCATTCACTTTCCACAGTGTTTATTACTTTAATAAACCCTCCTTCCTAGGCATTGTAACCAGCACAGTGAACAGAAGGGAAAATAAAGAAAAATTCAGGAGAAAGAAAACATGTTGAAGAGTGAAGAAAGAAAGTGGAATTATGGTTCACATATAATTTTTAATCACATACACCATGTACTGTGAGTTGGCATCAACTCAGTGGCAGTTAGTCTGGTTTTTGGAATGCAATGATTTATATGGCTCTTCTAGCCAGTGCCTGTTACTACCACCTAATGACCTTTTCCAGAGAGCTCCTGGTAGGAGAAGAAGCAAGATCCTGGCAGGATCCAGTTGGGAGGGATTATTAACAGGATTCGTTGTGATTACCATCCTACTGGGTCTAGAACAAGCTGTCTCAAAAGCAAGAAGGGGAAGACTTTGCTACCAGCAAGAGAGATGAGCCAGGAGTGGAGCGCATCTTTTGGACCTTGCGATCCGAGCACATTAAAACTCTTTGATCCGGGAAACAGTGGTGGCACCAGAGGAGCAGCTAGAAGCCGCAGCAGCTGAACCAGGAGAATGAGCAAGAGACAGTAGTGTACCTCTCACCCACAGCAAGTAAAGTGGAATGCTTGCAAGCAGGAGGTGGGGGGTGGGGAGTGGGGGTATGGGGTGGGGGGGCAGCTTTGCTGATTCCCACACAAAGGCAGAGCTGAGTGCCTTGGACTGAGGCTTATGGTGAAATGCCCTTTGTGCATTTATTGACAGCCTTAAAAGAACTTTGCAGAGGCCAGGCCAAAGGACTGCAGGTCAGAGAAAGTCCTGCCTGAGGACATGACAAAGAGCTACTCTGACTGAACAACTACATCCTAAGTATTTTCACCTACATTGAAACCTGTTAACTTCCTTAATAGACCCCATCATCATGAGTATGGTCTGTTAGTTCTATGTGGCCATTGAAAAATGAATTTTCAAAAGAAAAATGAATTTTCCAATGTAACGATGAAAAATACAACTTTCCTCTAGTTCCTAAAAGTTTCCTCCCCGCTCCCACTACCATCACTCGAATTCGACCTTGCAAGTCTGGCTGGACCAGAGGATGTACACTGGTACGGATGGGAACTGAAAATCCAGGGAATCCAGGGTGGATGAGCCCTACAGGACCAGTGGTGTGAGTGGTGGGACATGGAGGGTTGAGGGACAGTGGGTAGGA